CTTGAACAGATCCTAGGAACAACATCCGAGCTCTCTGTCCAGAAAAGTGCAGTGCTAGGAACAGCTAAGATACTGCACAGAACCCTCAAACTCCCAGACCTCTGGTAGACGACCTGAGATTGAGGAAGACACATAGCACCCATAGGGGTAAGAGGGGAATTTTTATATATATACAGTATAATGTTGGGCAAGATGGACAGGAGAAGAAGAGGCCAGCTATGCATGAGGTGGATAGAGAGCAACCTGGAAGTTACAGGAATGTACCTGTGAAAACAGCTTGCAGAACTTCTACTCAAATAGCCTCCAGTTGGCTACAACTCGATGGAACATCAGAACAAAGCAGTCCTTCCCATAACTGGGAAAACTAAATGTATAGATATTTATTTTAGTCAGTTATAGTTAATTTGAACAACCCAGAGCAATAGGAAAATGCAGAAATTTTTCACCTTCAGTCCAGCTTATGTATTTATAAGGAACTTGTACAGCTGCTGGATCAAATCTCATAGATCAGAAAATCTGGGTAAAAGTGAGACAGGATTCATTCCCACATTCCCAAGTCTAAAATGAACTAAAATGAAATGTTCATTTAAATAATGAACAAATGAAATGTTCATTTAAATAAATAAATACATAAATACATAAATACATAAATACATAAATACATAAATACATAAATGCAAGCAAGCAGCTTTACTATTCTTCCAAAGGTAGAGGAGATAATAGAAGAGAATATATGTAGCTCAGGGTTGAATTATGGTGTCCTTGGTCCTCTCTAAGATTGGTTCTTCCCTTGCAGATAACCCAACTAGGTAACTCCATCAGTATAAGTGAGTATGGGGTTTGCTTCCTATTGATAAATAGTAGTTTGCCCCTCCTGTGTTGGTGGTGGTTTGGTTTTCTCCTTGACAGTTCCTTGATTAGGGTATTGTTTATGCTTGATTGTTTGTCTGCTGTTAATCCCTGCTTATCTGGGTGTAGCCTGCCTGACAGGATATGTTTTGGCCCATTTGTTTCTTTCTTAGTTTTTTTATTGTGATTTATTTCTATGTCTCTGTCAATGGCTGATTTGTATGAATGCCATCAGCTTGTAAACTGTATTTACAATGATGGGGCCTAGTTGGGTAATGAAACGTCTGCAAGCAAACAACCAAGCTCAGAGAGCACCAAGGACTGCATACAGGAGACAGATGGATAAGAGGTTACTGTACTTTAATGTAATAAGGGAAAATAATACAAAACCAGCTCAGAGTAAATGTTTACACAATTGGCATTATACTGACGGATAACTGGAAGCTCAAATATTTCCAGAAATGAAATCCAAAATGCTAATTCAGAGTAGACAGAAGAAACAGCATGGGACAGCCCAATCTAACCCTTTCCTCTGCACATATGCATGAGGCAGGAACCCCAGAAAAACTGAGTCAGAACAGAGATTAGTTCTTCTCATGGGAAAAAAAAAAAGAGCTATGGGCTCAAATATCTGGCAAGGATCAGTTAAACAAGAATTATTTACAACCTATGCTGTTCCATCAACAGTTATGGTGGGAGGTCCTGCAGTACTCCACTCAAGAGATTACCTTCCATGATTTTCATGCAAGAAGTTTCCACATCAGCACTGATCCTGGCTTGTGTCAGGAGGAATATGGGGCATGCAAAGCATGTGCAACAGCATAGACAGCATTGTAGACACAGTAACTGTGGGTAGTCATGCTTGCTTCAAAAGGAATTACTGGGAGACTCTCCAGCTTCTTCTCTTCAGTACAAATGTTCATCTCCACTGTCTCAGTGGTAAAGTTTGGAAGCAGAGTATTAAATGCTACCAAATAGCTTTCAAGAAGTCATCTCCATTATGCCAAAGAGGGTTCCTCATTTGAACAAACTTCTGAAATCCTGACACTTCAGTAGATTGGGGTGCCAAATATATAGCACCATGGAGGAAATTAATATTCCAGCTGCTTTGAAACAAAGCAGATGTGAAGTCCACATCAGCTTTCATCATCCAGATCTTGTTTTGTTTTTGTTTTCTTTTTTCTTTATGCTACATTATCAAAGCCTGAGTGTTTGAGTATCACCAACAAAAATGTTATACTCTGAAAGTCTCCATGAGAGATCACTGTATTAGCTGTGCTGTTCAAGGCCAGGCTTATTTTTGCAAGGGTAGCTTCCCAAACCACATCAATTTCTCTTATCCTCCCACCAGGAAACTTTTCAATGAAGTCAAAATAGATGCCATGCTGTGAATAGAAGGGCAATACTTTCTGGAGCGATAAATCTGTTTGAGTGCCAATACCCATATAAAAAACTCCAATTCATATTCATTTGAAATGTAGTAATAGCTGGAGAATCCCATGATACTGATAATCAAAATTTGGAGACATCCAGTAGAAATAAACTGGTTGATTGGGACTATTGGTCTCTGGACCAGAAGTATAGGCAAGGTAAGCGAATTCAAGAGTAATAGAAGGACAGCAAGAGAACAGAAGAGTTAGTTCCACAAGAAATTATGGTTTAGCCTTCTTTCTTTTTCAGTACATCACTTTATATATTATGTTGGTTGCATGAGGCTTTCTTCCCAAGGTCACGCACAGAGGTTTCCTTGCAGGACCAGGGGAAGAAGGCCTCGCATGACCAGCAGCTGCCTCGTGAAGGGCCTAGCCAGGCGCGCTTGTCAGCAGCTGGAGCAAGAAGACAGTGAAAGACACTGCAGGGAGGCAAGGGTGGCTGGAGCTGGGCTGAGTCAGGCTGGTGTGGCTGCAGTTTCCAGGGGTAGCTGTGGCTCTGCACTTCTTGCAGCTGCAGAGCCATGCAGTTATGGGGCTGTTTGCCACCCTGCAAGGCAAGGTGCATATAAATAAAAAGGGCAGATATGGGGGGTGGGATAGGCAGTTGTGGAGAGTTGAAGGGGAGACAGTCCCCTACCTTGGAAGAACCGAGGATCAGAGTTTGGGGGAACTAAGCTGGGAATGGCTTAAACCTATTATCCCTTCTTCCTTTTAACCATTCTAGCACCGCATTCACAAAACCCACTTAACATGGTTAATGAAGTTAGCTGTTATTTAACTTTAAATAATTCATTGACAAAAGGAGTTAAAATTAAACACACAAACACACGCACCAAGAAATAAAACAATGAGTTTAACAGCTAACAAGCTTAGTATATTGTGAAAATGCAGCTTCTAAGCCTACAATGGATTCTAAGTGTTCCATAAATAGAACCAATGAGGGCAAACCCCAGTGCATACACGTTTATCTTTTAGGCTTGTATTATTTTATTATTTCAAATATCATGAAAATAGATCATGTCAGATGTCAATTTCCAATGTGCTGCCTCTACAAATTCAGCTCATAATTATAATCCCACTTTAGACAAAGATTGCCCAATTGCCCCTCCCAAAATGTGGTTTAACAAATTCTCTTTATTAGATGATCCCTTTTGTTCAGGTGAGGCCTCACCATGATGATGTAGCATTTGGGGAAAAAGACACAAGTCAGGAGCCCAGCACTGGAGGCCAAGATGGAGAAGATCTCCACAGCCACCATGTACTTCCCCTTGGTGCTCATGTAGGCAGAGACAAAGGACAGCCACACACTGCAAAACACCAACATACTGAACGTGATGGATTTGGTTTCCTGGAAGGTGTCTGGTAACTTCCTGGCCAGGAA